AAAATTATCTATCATGTAGCTAGTCAGCTACATGGTTTTTTCCCTCTTGAAACCTCTGAACCAAAGGTAAATTCAATACATCTTGAGGACTTGCCTTATTATAAGACAGGCTTACAATTTAGGAAAAGCTGTTTCTCTTTCTTTTTGCAGTACAAGACAACTGGCTGCTTTATTAATTTAGTTAATTAGGCCAGGAATAAATAAAAGATGTGGATATCAGCCCCCTATACACAGCTTTAATTTGTTTGCTGCATGCCTGGTGGAGGTCATTGTCACTTATTACCTTTACACTTCACTTGACAAATGCTCTCCTGCACACTGAACGCTGCTCTTAGAGACAGCAGGGAACTATAGTAAGTCCAGGCGAAGTCAAGAAGCCCCCTAGATCTTAATTATAAAACCATAAAAGAAACCGACTGCCTCTGAAGCTCTCTTACCAGGAAACAAATGAGAATGGGAAATTTATTTCCAACCATAAATCCCAAACCTTTCAGTTTAATTTTTCCCAAGTTAACTTTCTCACCTAGCTAAGCAGCACCGCCTTCTATTATTAGCTTCTGGCCCAATATCAGCTGACCACCATCAGTCAAACTGTCTTCATCTCAATGAGCTCAGGGACTCCCACGGAACTCTGTGTATGCAGACTTGCGCTTGCAGCCTCTAATTATTTTCTAACAGATAATGGAGCATTTAAGTTCAGAGAAGATAGATTAAACTTGTAAGTGGATCAAAACCCTGGAAAGAACCACAGCTCACAGGATTACTTCCTGAAAACACCAAGCTTAGAGGGCTAGAGAGGAAAGGCCCTCATCAATTGGCTGTTTCCCCATGACATGTTAGTTTAAAGGTGTATTTTTGGTAGCCTCAAAGATGGTTTGCTATGCTTTCCAATTGCAGCATGACTTTGGAATGTATTACATTAGCAGTCAAGCATCTGGTTTGAAGTTAAACCATCTGATCAGGCCAATGGCTACTTGACTTATCAGACTATCATAACAGTCAAATAACTCGAGGTTGAGGAGGGGAAATTGTTTTCACAAGTGAAATTATAAGTCCCTGTTCTACTACCAAGTAGCCTCTTAGCTGCGTATTTGCCTTTTTTCCTCATGACAAGCCTCTCTTTCCTCCTCAGGACCCTCACATATTCTATTACCAGCTTTAGGGTGAGGAGCAGGATATCCTTCTCTCCTGATACCCCCTGCGGTCCGCTGGTGACTCCCCTCCCAGACATGTTTGCAGGCAGACCGGTAGCAAGAATTCTGCACTCTGAATTCAAATTCCAGTGCCCTTCTGGGGATGATGAAGTGTGACTAGCCAAGCAGGGAGGAAAAACTACACCCCACAATTTAAGCACCGAACCATTTCAACACCTGAGGGGAAATTCTTCAGAGTGTGAAATTATTCCAGAGACAATACATATTCAGAAATAGGTGGAAAAAAAGGTAAACCTACATTTTACAAAACAGTAGCAACAACTTCTGCAGGGTGAAAACAAATCCATAGAAGTCCACATGTACATTCTGGTCCTGCCCTGCAGAAGGCGGTATGGGTTACCTAGACTTCAGCTTGCACTGTTGTAACAGACATGGACTACTGCAGTGATAAAAACTATGTAAGAAAGCAGGACGCAGAGTAAAAGAAAAAGAGCTAGCTGGGAATGTGTGGAGAAAGCCCAGAAAATAGACTCTGCTGCAAATCCCCGAAGAAAAATTCTAAATAGGGGATGTACTTTTTGATGATGGCCAATTCATCATCCCCTGATGGGAGAAGGGTGGGAGGTGTTTGGCCATAGCAGGTGCTAACATCATGCATTATATCATTACAGTCATTACAGATCCATTAGTGGGTGTTCAAGGTGCTGAAATGACAGCCCAGTAGCCAAATTGTTGTTCTTTACTCTTTTAGCATAACATTTAGCAGAATTTCAGGAGCTCTTTTAGACTTACATTCTGCCAACATTAGAAGTTTTAACCAGAGCCTATGGACAATGACACTAACATCTACACCAGCTATTTCTGTAGACACTGAAGCATCCCAAGTACTCTCTCTGTACACAAACCACTGTTTACAAGAGGCTTTACATTTTCCAAAGCGGCTCTAAAAGGAATGCTAAGTTTTATTTGCAAGTACAAGGACATATGCAATCGAGTAAGAAGTAATTGCTGACAGAAGCACACCTGTACTTGACAAGTATGAAAAAATGAAAGTCAAGGGTGTGACTCATATAATGACACGTCCCTCCCACTAGTCTTCTCTTCCCATTCATAACCAACGTGTCAGATGCTTATTTAAGACAGAGTTAACCTCTCCACTATATTCATAATGGCACTTAGCCACCTATATACCATCAAAAAAATCTGATACAACTGTTTTTAACCAATGACTATTCATAATAGTATTTTTACTGAAATCACTACTGATGCATTTTGTTTTCATATGTACACTTACATTTTCCTCATAAAATAACACCAGTAAACAGTATCGAGTTTTATCAGGATAGTTATACTGACCAAAGCCTTGGAGTGAGAGTGAGTAAACCACATTTTTCTACAATAACTTACTCTTCAATAAAAAATATTTAAGTTATTTCCTCATAATAGCTTAAAATTTTAAAACTTTTAAAACTATGTCATTTCCAGGACAGAGAGGAGCAGTCACATTAAAACCGTAAGCAATGCCTAGGTCATTCTCTTTAAAAATGTGGCTTGTTTCAGGAAATAAATTACTGGGTTATGAGGTGAGAACTGCAGGAACATCTGTACAATTGCATGAGCAATTATTTCAAAATAATGAAATTAAGTCTTCTTTATCACGAATGCAGTATAGCAAAGGATATTACAGACCGCTGCATATATATCAAATGCAGCTTTGATACAAAACATCTTATTTCTACTTTTTGTCATTTATATCAACTAATGATGAAGTCCAATTCTTTTTAATTATGATTAAAAAGAACCTTTAGGTTATTATTAACCTCTAGGACTAAAAATAACCTTCACTTTTCTCTCACCTTGTTACCACTGGTTCAGAGATTCATGGAAAAACTGTTAGGTTAAAGAGGAACTTTTCCTAGTGTGGCTGTACCTTACACAGTTAAAATCCCTAGAGTTTCCAAAAAACCTTCATTATTTCTGAGCCATTTATCAGACGTTATGATGCATACACTGGAGGGAAATGTGGTCCAGTGAATTAAGTCAGCTGATCAAGCTGAGCTATGAAACCTCAGACAAGTAACTTTGCCTTTTAACAAAGACCTTAACGTTTTCTTTGTAGAGTGCTTCAAGGTTAATCAATATCAAAGAAGGAGATATTATTATTATTTCTGTATCAGATAAAGGGGCAGATCATCAGCTGGTGTAAGCTGCTCAGTTCCACTGACTTTCATACTGTGATAACAATTCCCTCATCTCGAGGCTGGAATCTACATCACTGACCACCAGCATCAGACATGGAGCGCAGGTCGCATTCATCAGCCTTTGCACTCCCTGCACGTTCACTTCAAAGGATGCTGAACACCAGCTCTCCTATTTCTGGGGCTCTACCATTAACAACACTCTTGACTTTTGTCCATTAAGCGAACATCTGATACTCTTTATCCCTTTAGTGCAATCCATTCCCTTCGAACAGGGCCAAAACAGCCTTTTTTTTTTTTCATTTGTGCATAATGATTATTGAATGTCATTAACATAAATGTGCAGTGCTCTGTAAAAAGCACAGGAAATCCCTTCATCTATACAGCCTTCATTCAATTGCCTAAGAACTCACGCGTGATAATTTGTCTGAAAAAGCTAAATCCGTAACTGTACATTTCTATTCATTTCTATATGGAAGAATAGACTATATAACAGGAGTACATTCTCCTTGTGGTTTACAGTCTTATTAATGCTAACCAAATTAAACCTATACACTGAACAGACCTTCAAGGCTTAAAAGTCCTGTGTAATTTTCAAGTTCACAAGAGGGATTTACAAAAAAGTGCAAATTTCTATGATCATCAAAAAAACCTGTCACTGAATAGGACATATGCATTCACAGTGTCAATGAGGCTTGATCTTGACACAGAACTAAAAACTGAGTGCAGTCTCTGTGAACATAGAACATTCATGAAAATTATGATCTTAACCTCTTATTAACAATATTTCAGATTAGTAAAGCAAAAGGGCTTTTAAAGTCCATTGTACTTGAATTTTCTTTCCCCTCCCTGTTATGCTTTGCTGCTGCTGACAGCTCCCAGGCTCTCAGTGGTTAGTTCTCAGGAACACTGAAGCAGAAGAGAGCTGAGGCTAAATTTCTGTTCCTGTGAGTTCTGCACCAGTGGAAACTTGCATACATGGTAAGATGCTCCCCTGCAACTCCTTCTCTCTGTTGTCTCTAGCTTCTCTGCCAGGGAAAGATAAAATATCTGGCACATGAGACAGAGGAGCTTCAGCCTTCCACTGATGGGAAGACCATTTATAAGGAAACTGCAGGCATCTTAGGGTCCATGATATTTGCATAGTGAAAAACCCAGCTCTTGGCACTGACATTACCCTGGAAGCGCAGGTACGTATGGTTCTGGAATGGGATGGTCTACATGCAATAAACTAAACAGGGCAGGAGCATTGCCTCTTACAGATGTGCCTAGCTCTACAGCTTTAGAGAAGCAGCACTGACCTATTTGCAGCTGAGGTGTAATCTTGTTTGCTTTTTTTTTGGTTGTTTAAACATCGCTGCAATAGAGAATGCTATAGACATACAAAACACTGAGACAGCTTGTCAAAGACTAAAGGGAAGGAGGGAAATGGCCTACACACAAAATCTCAGCAGCTGAATTTTTCTAGGGACATAATACTGTAGCACTTGCTGAACATCAGCACAATATCAGTCCTGTGTATGAGTCTCCTTTTACTATCTAAATGTAAGGAAAGAAAAGTGGCAGAAATTCCTCTTTACAATCTCTGTGGACTACAGAAAGACATGGCCCCTCCAAGACTCAGAGATGCTGATCGCCTCTTACTTACATCCATAAACTCCACATTGGCTTTTGGACCAGTGGTCTCATTAAGGATCTTAATGGCCACAGGAATCTTCACAGTTTCTCCCTCAGGGACCCAAATGCCCTAGAAAGATTAAAAAAAAGGCACATAAGACAACAATCATAGAAATTTCATTCAGAATTACAGTTCTTTTTGATGCATTTTGTCACATTATTCAGTTTAGTTACAAACCTCAGAACTGAGAATACACAAAGTTATAAAATAATAAAAATTCCAAAAGACTGTTTCTTAATTGATATCTGAGAATTAAAAGCTGAGATGGCTAAAAAGTAAACTTTAAATTTAAAATTCACAAAGTGTGCGTCTCTTGGGCTACTTTTCCATCCTTCTTGACTGTGTTCTTGGCAACCTCATGATACCCATCTCTATCAATTTATTATTAATTAAGTATATTCAAATTGATTATTCAAAAATGTATTCCCATGACCTTGTAGCTGTAGTGACCTGGTCTGTACTTCCTCCATTTCCTCCCCAGTTTGAAGACAAATGCAGTATCTGTCCTCCTCCACTGCTCTGACCCACCACCTCGATTTGGCAGGTTTGCATTGCTCCCAAAGGGTGGGGTGATTGGCTTGACTTGCTCATTAAGCCCTACTTCACGCCTTTGAGATTTGGACATGACCAACAGATCTCAAAAACCAAAATCTTTAACAGAAGTATTCTTTCCCTTGTGGGTCCTGCTTTTACATCCTGGTTGTTAAAGGGTGCATTGACATAACTCATCTTTTCTGTTTAGATGGAAGAAACAAAAAGTATTACGGTTTAGCTAATGACAATATTGTTTTACAGGTATGATTACTATTACAAGACCCATGTGACACTTGTGAAATGAGAGACAAAGTTTATCTAGCTTCCCAAAAGTGTACTGTAAAGCCATTATGTAAGAACAGAATGACAAATGTTGATACTGCATTTTAATATCAAGACAACCCAGCTTGTGTAGTCCTCTTGTGTGCAAGGATGCTTGTGGCTGACACATCCTTTTCTCATCAAGAAATAGTATCTGCATGTCTGATTAAAACTGAAGTTAATGTTTGAGCCTGAAGATGTGCTCCTCCCACACAATTCCATTATCCTGTGAGTTTCCCAGACACGTAGGGCTCATGAACCCACCCACAGTACGGGATGCTTTGCTTCAATGCAGAACTTGCCTGTTCAAAAGTTGAAGACTCTTACCTTGTATACAGTTCCAAACGCTCCAGAGCCAAGAACCTTGACTCTTTTCAGCTCAGTTTCCTTCAGGATACGAAGCTGTGCTTGATTGGGTGCTGTGCCACTTGGAGTCAAGGGTTCCACAAGCTGTGAAGGAAAATCCAACAGTCTTAAATATTTGAAAATGCGAAGACATGTCAGAAGTTTATACTGAAAACAACCAATCCAATTAAATACCGGAGTAAGACAGTGGTGGGGTCTATTGACCATTGACCTGCCAACTTCAGACAGATTTCTTCTCACCTTCAAAAGCAGATGAGCAATGCTAAGAAACCAAGAGATCTAATAAAGAAAATCCTCACTCAACATGTAGTAATTTCCACCAGGATTTGCACGATGGAATTATGAACTGGAAATTGAATCAGTGTCACAACAACACACCCAAGGACTTTTGCTAATGGAGGCAGAATAAATATTTTCTACATGACAGAAATAGAGCATTTATTATCAGTGCACCTCATTCTATTTTTGCCCATTTTAGTGCCTTTTAAAGTTGGCCATATTTCTTTTTAATAGCTCTGACTTAATGGCTCATCATTCTTATTCTGTTTTGGGGAAGGGACTATTTTTCTGAACTTCTGTTATACCACACAGGACAACTTTAAAGAGAAAATATCTTATAGCAGACCATTAATTTATAATAGCCATTGATTTACTGCAAAAAAGGCACAATTAAACAATTTGCTCAAGATGTCCCAAGAAACTTTGTAAATGAGCCACAATGGCATATTCAGTTAAAAATGCTCTCAGATCTCAACGTTATATTGTCTCTGCCAGAAGAAACAATGCTTCTTTAAAAATAAATTAAAAATACATGAAAAGGACAATACTCTAAACAATGAAAAAATAGTCCATTCCTTTACAGGATGAGGAAAATAATTCGGGGCTACTCCTACTCAAATTGGTTTGAAACCACTGCAGTATTTCAAAGTCGGCTGTTTACAAGGCTAATGCATGATGCTCTGCAATTTGAGAACTTCTTCTATGGCTCTTTGAGCATCATGAACTACTTAATTAGTTGACCAGACTACTTCGGTTCACATAAAAAATACCAGTATCTGGAAATTACTGGTATGAGCAAACAAAACAAAACCAAACAGCAACAAGTGAGGTTATCACAGAAATAATTTGTGAACTGTACTTTTTTTTAACATGATTTCATTTTCCTTCTTCCCACTTTAGATGTCCATTACTCACATGGTGAAAGAAAGAAGTTTTACTATAAAAGAAAAGTAGACAGACTGGTGGTACACTTCTGTATTTTCAGTTTGTGAAGGGTGAAAACAGCTTCTGTGCCACAGTCCACCAACACAGGTATGGCAGGGAGAAGTGTTGTGGGTGTCTGAAAAAATGCTTGTAGAGTTTTACTGAGAATGATCTACAGAAAGAGTAGGTCTGTTACAGCCTCCAGCTAAAAACAGAGACTTCATCTGAAGCTGTATTGCTTATCTTAGGATTGATTTAATCTTCATTATCTAAGCCAAGACAACAGCTTACTGATCATGACCACAGACTTTGACAAAATCTGGACCACAAAGGCAATACAGGCATTGGGAAGAGTAAGTAACAATCTCTGCATTTAAACATTCCTGATAAGCTCAAGTTTGCATCAGAGCTTGCTGAACTTACTTCAGTCTTAAAAGTTGACCTCAGCATGCAGTGGATGAAAACTAATATTTAAGCATGAGAGCTCCTAAATGTACTGCTGAACTGGGATAGAAGTTCAGTTGAGAGCAGGATGGGAGTTCAAAAATCTAGTGGAACATCACTTTGTGGTCATGTGGATCGTTTTTGGCCTTCAAAAGCCATGAATCTGTATATGTACTGAAAACTAATATCTTGAAACAGCTTCATTCATTCCATCAGTTCAGTCCTGCAGAAGTTAGCAAAAGGATTTCTACAGACCTCACTGGTAACTGGACTGAAGACTTGAACATCTTTAATATAAAAGCAGAACAGGGCTGCATACGTTTTCAAATATTCAGTGAGAAGCACACTCTCACCTCAGTCTCCAGGAATCTTCGCAATGCTCTCTTCTTTTTAATGCTCTTGCGCCGAACATACACGGCAAATGTCAGGCCCACAATGACGATGATGAAGAGGCCACCAATAACTCCCGCAGCGATCAGAGGGGTTCTAGCAATCAGAATCAGAGACTTTATTTTTAGGTAGAATGAGAGACCAAAGAATGGTTGGGTACATAAAACACAATCACCTGAAAAGCTTATTAACTGCCTTATGACAAGAATTTCTAAGTCAGTCCAAATGGGAAGTCAGGGAAAACACATTAACATACGGTATGACTTTTCTTGTTTTTAATCAATAGACCAATTCTACTTTTTTCAAACCACCATGCACATGTGAGGAGTCGTGTGGACAAGGAGATACAACATGCACTTTGATGGCAAACGCAAATCTGCAATGGCAAAATGAGGATACAGGATATCTGCAGTTTTCCTGCAAGAGCTTCAACTATGCTTAGTCTTTGGCTCCATCAAGATTAATTCATGGGCTTGTGCATTTAGGGGAAAACAAACTAATGAAAAAATCCCAAACTACCAATAATATGTGCTTTCCTGAGTATGGAGGAAGTGAGAGGCAACTTCAAACATGGTGTTTCGTAGACAGATCTGGAGGCATCATATTCGTACACCTTCCTCAAGTGGAGGCTATTTATTTATGAATGATGTAATACATGACTAGAACCATGCACCCTCTTGGAACTCCTAGTTCATTACTATTATGCACAAACATTTCAGCCAGGGGTTGTGGTTGCACCCATCTGGTTTTGCTGTGGCTTTTCAGCTCAGCCCAATCCCAGAACAAAAGATTGGTGTGTTGGAGCCAAAAAACTCCTATGAACAAAATCAAGCAAGGCTCAGCTTTTGCACACCACCTGTTGTCCCCCCACTACTCCTATAACCCCTTCCAGCTTTCCAGGATATTGAGCAGCATAAGCTACAGTTACTAATTTGTTTTTCTATAGTGAGAAGATACAGTAGGCTGGCATCATGGTAGAGACTACACAAGTACAAAACAAAAAGACTGTCTCAGAGCGTCACTGTGTTTAACTTAGGTGCCCACATTTGGAGATTGTCCACACACTCAGTGGAGAAAAGCAGGTTCCCTCCGAAGAAAAAGGCAAAGCGATAGGTGCCCTCACTCTCTCTCTAAATCAAAACCTTAAATTAGGCATTTTCTCAGAATACCAACAACTTACTAGCATAAACACACTCAAAGCATTTAACATCTCTCCAACAGTGGCTGGACAGTAGCTGAAAAGATGGGTAGAAAGAGACAGCATGACAACTGTGGAGCATAAACGGTGCCGAAACCACTGCCTGGTAACCACAGGAAATAGGTTAACTATTGTCAAGATTGTGGAAATATCCCTGCTATGCTTTTAACAGCCTTCCTTGGTTATGTCTAAATGATGATGAAAGATACATTATGGCCTACGAATAAAAATGTACCACACAGTTATTAAAAATTTAAAGGATTCTCCCACAGAAATAGCAAATTGATTTATCTGACCCTTTATTCTTCTTTTTATGTCCTACCACAAAGCTGAGCAGTGGGAAGCAGTGCCATCTGACCTGGTTTGGTACATTAAGGTGTGTCTACATTACCACTGAGCACTGTTTTGAAGCCCATCTCCAAATTGTGCTAACTGTCCTTTGTCACTGCAGCGGGGTTCAGAGAGGTCCCAAAGCACACAACCTGGATTAATTTCATATACCAAACAGAAGATATGTTTCTGGTGTGCACCTAATGTGCTTCAACCTCTAACTGGCATTAAGGTCCACAGGATCAAACTAAAGCTAACCCAAAGAAAAATCCCTTGCAGCAAACAGCCTAGACATTGGGACCATTATGTATTTCATCCCCCAGATCCAATCCTATTGTGTCACTCACTTCCTGTTAACAGAGACAAAGCCTCATACTCCCACATCCAGTTATTAAAGCACCATGGTTAAAGCACCACTATCACATTTGCCCAGGGAAAATATGTTAACTGTAAGGCTCATTATAGTTCAAAGACTTTACAATGGAAAACATAAAGCCTGCAACGAAACAGAATGTTGTCCGGCTGTGAAATGGCTTATGATGTTTGGGAAATACAAGTCCAGTACCACCTATTCCTCAGGCAGAGACACTCCTTCTTCATCTAGTCTGGCCTTACGACACAGTCCCCTTTCTAATCCCATTGGTTACTCTGCTGATTTTGAGTGCAGAGCTCAGATGAAAGGACCTGGCATATCCACCCAAAACAACACTCCTCTTCGTTTGCATGTGCTTTCATTGATGCTGATGCGAGAAACTCTTTAATAGGCAACTATGAAAAACACTGAACATCAAAAGACTTCTATGGAGCTAGACTAATGTTCTTGAGCAGAGGAATTTTTTTTTCTTTTAATGCTGTATGGAAAATCATAAAATTTTTAACAAACACCACCAAACCACAGACTGACAAAACAGGCAGATCTCCCAGCTTGAAAGTGCATATTAATAACTATCATAACAGCTGTCAAAATAAATAGTTTTATGGTACTGTGTACACTAAAATGGTCCAAACAGTATCTACATGATAGACCATAGTAAGGAGATGGTTCCAAAGGAGACATAATGACTAGTGAAGAAAATAAAATAAGGTTACAAATTCCTTGCAGCCCTTTTACTATTTATAGAGTACAGGGGTTCAAAATGAATCTTTATGATCCATTGTGTCCACTCTCATTGACTTTAAAAGAAAGTCCTCATAATTTTTAGTAGTGAATTGAAAAAAAGCAAGTAATTTTCAAAAACTTCACCAAACAAGCATTTAGTCATTAATGTAAAATATGCTGTCATTGTATATTCTGTCTGAATTTTCAGGAGGTACCATCTAAACACACTATTAAGCAAGCTTAAAAAGCGAGTGTAAGAGTAATAACACAACATGGGAGGAAAAAAAAACATATTTAAATGCTAAACAAATAACTGTAATGCACAAAAAGTTTTATTTTGAACTCAAATAGTGATCAGCTTCCTTCACTCATAAGCCCACTACCCTCGCAAAAAAATCAGGACAGACACAAACATCAGACCTGAACAGATGCGACTGTATACTGTACAGCTTCTCCTCACTCTGCTACTAAGCTAAGCCCCAAAGTCAACAATCATGTGTTTTATTTGCTACAATACCAAATGACAAGTCACTGCCTTCAGTGCTTTCTGCCATCATCAGTGCAGTTCACTGTTGTTTCCAACCGCACATAGATTATTTTCTAAACCCAGTTTTCTGAGTGTCACCTACCTCATTTGGGTTATTTTTACTTATGTTCATTAGGCTGAGTTTGCTTTTCTATCTATTCTGCTAACATCTTCAAATCTTCTGTATCATTTCTCTACTATGTTCATGTTTGCAGTGCCTTATATTTAATACCCTGGTGAATTTCATTAACATGCTGTTTACCTTTCTTCTATATAATTGTTGAGGTTTTTTAACATGGATCCCTGCAGGGTGGTGCTGATCAGAGATGCTGCTGAAGACACGAAACCTTTCTCCCATTTTGTTTTTTTCTAATCCAATCCTTTTGCTGCATATGCACCTAACCAACAGTTCAGCTTCACATACAGCTGGACACACAAATCTCCTTATCTCTAGCAGCATTAAGGGCTTAATCCACTTACATTTTTGTTACATTACTGTCCCACAACCACCTCTGTGAATGCAATTTGCTACACTTGCCCACCTCAGACTACTGCTCACTTAAAACTAATTCCATGAAAGTTAATAGGAGCAATGTTGATGCAGAGACAAAAATTTCACTATCAAAAAACCCTGTTTTGTTAAAGTAATTTTTAAAAGCACAGAGGTCCCATTTCTCCGTTAGGGCTCAGAAAGGCTCAAATCAAGCAAGGAGAGGTAGTTCCATGTCAGTCCTGCCTGTCCAGCATAAATAATGGACAGCCAAAAGTCAATCCTAGCTCACATTTCCTTCAGCTCCACTATGAGCCCACCAACAGGAAACTCCTGATACAGCCACTACTTCCCTTCACATGCTGAAAATCTACCCCGAAGGGTGAAAAAAAATCTCTGCTAGGTGTTTCTGGACATTTATGCTTATCAAAATAGACTTAGCAGTCCAAGAAATATGGCCCTGAACCATAATTCAATCCCATATAATTAATTTGCTATCCCCCACCCCTCCCTCAGCTGAGGACAGAATACCCAATTAATGATTGGAAAAGGCAGCATCAGGAGAGGCAGCAGGAGGAAAAAAACCCACATTATGTGTAAAATCCTGCCCTTTAAACTGGAAACTGTATCTGTGGCTGAAAGTTGAAAGTCAGATTCTAGTATTCCCTTAGGAGAAGTTAATAATATATATTTCCTTTTAAATGTGTACTGTGTTTTCATATTTAGAAGCATATAACACCCACTCCCACACACCAAAATTGAGACAAAAAGTTCAAAGTTAGTATTCCAAGATGGACAAGGATGCTCAATAGGGGGGCTTATGTCATCCCATCCACTCCAAAACATCAAAACATCTGCAATTCCCACAGAGCTTTGAGACCAGGTATTAAAGCCTGATTTAGATGAGTACACGGTCTCATACTCTTGACTGGAGAGTGCAGCAGAAGGGGGAAAGGAAATAGAATTGTGGTCCGTGGAGTAAAGCTGAGAAAGAACACCTGTTTTTCTGCCTTTAGCATTAACCCACCTAATATGATACGTAAATAAATTGAGCTTTGAAGCTGAGCTGTTAGAGGGCTTTAAGTTCCTGCCTCAACCTTCCCCAGCTTCCCCTCCTTTGAGTTTTATCTATATATCCAAACAGGATTCATTACAACCTTGAATATTTGCTAAGCAGTCGCTTCTTGTAAATTTTCATTATCAAGGCATTTTTTCCTGATGGACAATTCAAACATTCTGTATTCCTCACCCTTTCCATCAGTGGGGAGTTCAGCTGACTTTGAAGCTGCACTTTTAGAGATCTAACGGATTCTGCTAATCCTGGAATGATAATCTTGGTATTTAAAATATACAAGATAAACAACCAGACTGGGAAGCAAATTTGTTCATGCTTTAATAGCGTCTCTCTGCTGTGCAGCACTCCCCTGGCAGAGCTCTACAACCACAACTTCCA